CAGGACCACCACCTCCATGTGGAATGCAGAATGTTTTGTGAAGGTTAAGATGGCAGACATCAGCTCCAATGAAACCAGGACTTGTCAGTCCCACCTGAAAGGAATACAAATTAAAAGTAAATTCACCACAGTTGGTTATACTGACAAAACAAAATTACGTTTCAACGCCTTTAGCAAGCAGTAATATTAGCCCAGACGGAAGGAAGATACATATGTGTGGTCACTATACAGGACAGGTGCAATTTCGAGATCCCTTAAAAAATTTCCATTACTTTCCTGAGTAAGAATCTTCAAAAAGCGGGAAACTTTCAGATGGATAACATCTCACTAGAAAAAGATAAGAATTGATTTTCTTGGAAACATATGAACAACAAATACAATTGAGGCATTTGATTTGGAAAGAGTGGTCAGACAGACAAGTTGATGGTACAGGAAACAAACCTGAGCATTCATGTTAGCCCCATCCATGTATACTTGACCTCCATTGTCATGAATAATCTTACAGATTTCATCAATACCTTCTTCATAAACTCCATGAGTTGATGGATAAGTAACCTGCAATTACATCCCAGATAGTGCCACCAGTATTCCATGAGGCCATAAGATTCTGCTCGAGTTTTGTCAAACTCAAATTTATTTATCAATGAAATGAACAGTCATACCATGAGTGCAGAAAGGTTATCCTTATTTGCTTCAGCAGCCTGCCTGAGCTCTTCTATGTTGATGTTTCCCTTGGCATCAGTTCCAACAGCAACAATTTTCATTCCACACATGGCAGCACTTGCAGGATTGGTCCCATGCGCTGAAACAGGAATGATGCAGACATTACGGTGGTGATCCCCTCTCGCCTGCAGCGCAAATACAGAGGTAAGTCCATCATGATTAAATGAATGAACTAAGAATCGGACACGAAGAAAAAGGACAGACAGAAAGGAGACACATTTCAGGTTTGAAACCATGAGTCCCAGTTATATCAGAGCAAGAAACAGGATCTTCAGCACAATGAAGCAGTATAGTTCTGTTTTCCGAGCTCTGCCCATTTTAAACATGCAGTCTCGTAGATTCAAACGAATCATGCATCGCAGTAAATTAGTTACAATGTCAGACATGGATTTACACAAATCGAGTTATCATGGCATTACTTCAAAGAAGCAAAGCATGGACACACATCGTGTGAAGTACTCAAAACAACATGATGAAATCAGACACTCCAATTAAGAATTCCGCAGAAGAGAAAAAGCAAAATCAACAGTGCAGCACCTCAATTGGAGGCTATTTTGTCACTGAAGAGACAACTTGCTGATAGATACTTAATGATAACTACCATACCATGTGATATGCACGAATCACCATAAGTCCAGCATATTCTCCTGAAGCACCAGCATTTGGTTGCAATGAGAAAGAATCGAATCCAGTGATGGTACATAGCAGGTCGCCTAAGTTGTTGAACATTTCCTGTGAAACAAAAGTATTCAAGGTCAACTTAATTTGTTTGCCATTCCAAACCAACCCCCTGAAAAGAAAAGACAGTTTACAATACCACGCTGAAAAAGAATATCACTTAATCCACCAAACACTTTGCAGTTACATACCTGATATCCTTGAGCCTGCTCTGCAGGTGCAAAGGGATGAATATCAGTGAAGGCAGGCCATGTCACTGGCATCATCTCAGTTGTTGCATTCAATTTCATTGTACATGATCCCAATGGAATCATGCTGTGGCACAATGAGAGGTCTTTTGACTGCAACCTGTGTATATATCTGAGCAATTCGTGTTCGGTATGGTACCTGATATATAACACAAAAGGTCAGCATAATCGTCTACACAACATTCTTGATTAACTTAAGTTTACAGTGCAGGTCATACATGTTAAAGATGGAATGAGTAAGATATGGGCTCTCTCTTGTCAGCTTAGACGGAATCACATTCTTCACCTCTGGAGCCAGAGATTCAGCAGTGAAAGGTACCTGGTCCAAAGAAGCTGAGGTCAAGATATTGACAATATAACAGCAAATATGAACATGATCCAGAACGTCAATTGCAACATCAAACGCAGCTGCAGGATAGACCAACTAGTGATACTCACAGCTTTGCCACCAGCGAAAATGCTGAAGAGTTTATCTACATCTTCCAATGTTGTTGTTTCATCAAATGCCGCGGTGATCTGAAAGACAAACCAACTATAAGAATATGTGTGACGAAATTATATCCTTAGACTACTTGGGATTTGATCTTACAGTGTTTGCATCTACAACTCTCAAATTCATCCCATTTTTGGAAGCGGCATCAGCAATTGCATGTGCATCAGCACACTTGATCTTGACAGTGTCAAAGAAGGGAAGGTTCTGAACTTCAACACCTAGTTTAGTCAATCCCAAGGCAAGAGCTCCAGCAAGGCCATGGACCCTGTCAGCAATCGCTTTAAGACCTTTAGGTCCATGATAGACTGCAAACATGGCAGCCATGTTTGCAAGTAATGCCTGCAAAACAAGAGATACAATTTAGCCAAGGGAAATTAGGCAACCATCATCAGTAATATCATACTGAAAAACTGCAAAAATCCAAAGTCCCCAACAGAAAATTTTCATACTTGAGCAGTACATATGTTGCTGGTAGCCTTGTCCCTGCGGATATGCTGCTCCCTAGTTTGCATTGCCATGCGCAGAGCAGTCTTTCCCGACGAATCGACGCTCACACCAATAATTCTTCCAGGCATCAGCCTCTTGTACTCCTGTGAAGTAGCCAAGAAGGCCGCATGAGGACCTCCATACCCCATGGGAACCCCAAACCTCTGTGCTGAACCAACAACGATATCTGCCCCCAATTCACCAGGAGGCTTCAACACAGTCAATGCCAGCAAGTCGGTTGCCATGACAACCTTGACTGAATTAGCATGAGCGTTCTTAACAAAGCCCTCGTAGTCCAGAACTTCACCCTCAGTTCCAGGATACTGAACCAGCACACCACAAACATCCCCAGACTTGTAATCGATGTCCTTGAGGTCTGCAGTGACCACGTTGATATCAAACCCAGCTGCTCTAGTTTTACAGATATCAATGGTCTGTGGATGACAGTTGCTAGCGATGATAAAGGTCTTCTTCTTCCCCTTGAGAATGTTATTGCACATAGCCATTGCCTCGGCAGCTGCAGTCCCTTCATCGAGCAACGAAGCGTTGGACATAGGAAGGCCGGTGAGATCTGAAATCATGGTCTGGTAGTTAAGCAGAGACTCCAGCCTCCCCTGGGAAATCTCAGCCTGGTACGGCGTGTACTGCGTGTACCAAGCCGGATTCTCCATTATGTTCCTCAGAATCACCGGAGGAACGTGAGTGTTGTAGTATCCCATCCCGATAAACGACTTGAAAACCTTGTTCTTCGATGCCAAATATTGCATGTGCTCAATCATTTGGCTCTCGGTGAGACCTCCGTCGAACTTAGAGAAGTTCATCGAATCAAGCCTAATAGATTTAGGGACGGTAGCGTCGATCAAGGCGTCGAGGCTTTCGAATCCACATACCTCCGCCATTTTGGACTGCTCCTCCGGAGTGGCTGAGTTGTGGCGGCGGGGGAAAGTGTCACTGGATTTCAGAGCATCGACGGACACGAATCGAACGCCGGCGGCGGGGTTGTGCGGTGCGGCATTTCTGGCTCCGACAAACAGGCCAGACCTGTGAATCTTTGGTGGGGAATAGGAGGAGGACGCCGATGAGGAGACATAGCGCGAAGGAGTGTACAGAACAGGGGAAGAGGAGTACGAGTTGAGGAGAGAGGACGATGAAGAAGCGGCGGCCGGAGGGTCGTTGCGGCGGCTGTTGCGGCAGTGCTTGTTTGGCTTGGAATCGCTTACCAAGCGCTTCAGAATTGCGCGGTTCGCCAGCCGCCTCGCCCGCTCCATTGCCGGTATACAGAGGAGGAGGAGGAGGCTGTTTCTGTTTTGAGGAGAGAGTTATTTTGGTTTTGCTAAAACCGTGAAGAGAAGGGAGAGCGAGGGAAGGAATAGAAAAAGGGGTTAAAAGCTAAAAGGGTTGGGGGTTGTTGAGAAAAGGACAAAAATGGGAAAGGGGAACTAAAACAAAGATTATTTTTTGAGGTTATTAATTAGTACTTTATTATTGGTATATTTGGTGGTGATACTCCATTTGAATCACTGAGTGAGAGAGTTAGGTGGTATCATTAATTAAATATAAAACTGAATTTAAGTCTAAAAAACAGACTGGACTCTTTCCTTTCCTACCACCGGAATCATTACAAAATTAAACCACTGGCTGCATAAATAAGTAAGGTGCACAATAGAAAGAAAAAGGAATAAGCAAATGGTTAGTTTGCATGTGTGGTACTTGAGTATGATATAATGATATTTGGTTACAAATAATAAGTTTGTTTGGAGAAAAGATATGTGCTATTGATATTCTTTGAATAACACATATATGTTATTGATAATATTAGGGTTAATACCTTATTTTGGCCTGAACTATGAATGTATAATCAACTTTGACGCGTGGTTTCAGAATTTAACATTCTGACCTCAACTATGTAACATATAAACTCAATTGGCCAGACACCTAGTTTGACCGTCAATTTGGATGGTCAACACCATTGACCGTTAGTCAACACGTCATGTCATTGCCTCGTCAGCCTAAAAATCATTAAAAAATTCAAGACCGTGAAGTCAACTATGTAACATATAAACTCAATTGGTCGTGACAATCACATGCAGACCGTGAAGTCGGACAAGAACGACAGCGGCTTCCTGCGTTTTTGGACGAGATCACGGTCGGAGGTCCAATGTCACGGCCATGACATTCAACTCGTGACTTCGAGTTGTATAAAAAGACAGTTGTGGGGAGAGAGAAAAGGGAGCAGGTTTTTGGAGGAGAACTTGGTTCTCTCTCTGGGGTTTCGACCTAAAACACCATAGAGAGAGATCTTAGAGCTTAATTGGAGGCTTGGGTTAATATCTCTTCTCTCTTTATGAACTAGACCTCTTTCTCTTAGGTTGATGAAATCTAGGTCTATATTTGAATTAATGTTGATGTATGTGATAAATCTTATATTTGATTGTGTTTATTATCTATTTGATGGATGTTTTTCATAAATTGTATAAGTTCTTAATGTCAATTGAGATTTTGACCTAGGAGGGAGAAAATCCCCTAAGAGCCCACTTTTGGCGTCTTCGGGTCACTCCTATCATATGTTGTACGGGTAATCCCTGAGGGAGTTTATTCGATGTACCTCCTAACGGTATATGAATCCTTAGGTTGAATAGAGCACCTACCCATCCATCACTTTGTCGTTCCTACTTCCTAATCAATCCCGAGTGAGTCGATCTCATAACGGTAGGGTAGTGAGTTGATCGAGCTAGAATGGTACTCAACATCGTTCCAAATGATATAACTAGGGGGATTCAAGCTAAGAGAGCTCCAAAAACTTGTAATTAGCTAATATAGTGGTTAATTAAGTCAGTTAGTTTAGTCTTCTTAATCACTATTCTAGGTTGGCTAGATAATGAAACCTAAACCCGAAGTAAAGTAAGCCTAGATCCTCCTGGTTAGATAAATTTTATTGCTTGCTTACCTTATGCTACACCCGATCGTCGGTTATACTTGGTCGTCGATTGGAAATGTGTAGTTAGAGTCGAGTCATAAGGTGGTGGATGCTTAATGGTATTCAATCCCAGCTTCTTGACTACATCAAGACTCACGACATTGGTGCAGCTACCACCCTCGATTACCACAAACAACAACTTTCCATCCTTAAGATAACGGGTATGAAACAGATTATCTCGTTGTTCTTGGTAAGTTAGAGCTTCAAGGGATATCACTCTTCAATTGATTCTAAGAAACTTACCAGTTGGAGGGATTTCAGTAGTGATATGCTCATCAACATCATCATCATTAGAATCGATCCCCGTCCCAATTGGCTTCCTTCCTCCTCCTCCTTAGAAAAGTATTCTCCATCTCGTAGAACAAGAGCTTTTTGTTGGGGCACTGATTTGCTTTGTTACCTCGTCCCGGACATTTGAAGCATTGGATGCTTCCAGCTGATCCTTCAGGTTTGGCTTGAATGATAGGGGTCGTGTTCCTCCACACAACCTTAGCTCCTTCTTTCCTGGTAAGTTGGGACTCAGTTTCTGAAGTAATCTTGGATGCATGCTTTTAAGGTGTGTACCTTCTTCCAAAGCTGACTTTCAGGTTCCTCTCCACCTTCATTGCTAAATGAACCACTTCCTCCAACTCCACAAACTAAGGAAGCTCGACTTCCTGCCTGATTTCTCGGTTGAGTCCATGTAAAAATCGAGTAATCTTTGCTTCCTTGTCCTCCCTCACGTTTTCCCTCATAAAGAGAGACTCAAGCTCTTTGAAGTATTCATCAATAGAGCGTGCTTCTTTGCGAATTCCCTGCAAGGAATCATAAAGTTCTCTATGATAGAAAGGAAGCACGAATCGATCACGCATTGGGCCTCTCAGTTCTTCCCAAGTAGAAATGAAAGGCTGCACATTTATTCTTCGCCAAAGTTGGACTTGTTCCCACCAAGTTACCGCATAATCTGAAAATTCATAGGTAGCTAGTAGGACTTTCCAATTCTCTTGGTAAGGATTGCACTGAAAGAATAAAACCATCTTCCTCTCCCAATCAAGGTAAATTGAAGCACTGTTGATCCCTTGAAATGGAGGAATTACCAGTTTGATTCCTCAAAACAAATCAACGCCATACCCTTCTATTTCTGGTGGTCTTCGACCATAATCATGGTAACCATCTTCGTAATCATTAAATGGAGGTTACACTAGGTGATTACCTGATGATGATGCCCTGTTTGTTGACGTCTCTACATCTGCCAGTCTGGGGTTTCAGAAAAAGCTTGATAATTTTGAGCTCATTCTGCTCTTGGGCCCTCTCGATTCTCAGCTCCATTCTGAGCTGCTACAACTAGTGTATTCTCTAGTGGATTACCCATTAGTTTCATTTCCATCCTGGTGATTAGGGTATCCAGATGCTTGTGGTTTCAACAAGCTAAGATTTTGTAGCGTCCTGCTGGGTTTGAAACAAAGCTCTCGTCTAAGCCATATGCATTGCAAGCTATTTCATGGCGTCTGCAAGGTTTGACACCATAGTTTGCTCTTCGAATGAGATTTCTTCCTCTGACAAAGAATCTTCCTCTGCCTCGCAGTTGGCTATGGGGTCTTTGGAACTCGTACGAGAAGAAATAGGTCCTCTCGCCTTCGTTCTTGCCACTGTGTTGAACTAGAGCTCTGATACCACCTGATACGAGCGCGGGACCAGTACTCGTAGTTTTCAAAGTCGTGCAACCAAGAACAAGAATTGGGGTTTGAAACAAAGCTCTCGTCTAAGCCATATGCATTGCAATCTATTTCATGGCGTCTGCAAGGTTTGACACCATAGTTTGCTCTTCGAATGAGATTTCTTCCTCTGCCTCGCAGTTGGCTATGGGGTCTTTGGAACTCGTACGAGAAGAAATAAGTCCTCTCGCCTTCGTTCTTGCCTCTGTGTTGAACTAGAGCTCTGATACCACCTGATACGAGCGCGGGACCAGTACTCGTAGTTTTCAAAGTCGTGCAACCAAGAACAAGAATTGGGGCTAGGGACAAGGCGGAATTGAAATGCAATTTCATACCTGGGAGAAGGCTCTATCAATATAAGGTATACGCTCGACCACAATCAAGGGGAGTCCTCGATTGATACAAATAACAATTCACAAGTCAAAAGCTCAATGAATAAGAGTAAAGTTTTCAATTCATAAAATCTTCCTGAAAACTCGAGTCTAAGCCCTTTAAATAGTCCAGTGAAAATTAACTAAGTAAAACACATAAAGGAAAAGGAGTCCTAATTGAAAAAGGTAATTTTAACCCGTAAGAGGTTATTCCCCAATTTGTCCTTCTGTTCCATGGTCGTTAAATTGACGTCCTTAACCAGGGAACTCTTATGTTCCAATCCTGGTCTATCCTTCTGTTCCACGGTCGGAGAATTAATGTCTGTGGCTAGGGATTTTGATCTCGTTGCTTTGGAGGCTCACATCAATAGCCATCCCTATCTCGCATGAGGATCCCTACTTAGGGCCCCATCATACGAACACACAATCCCAGGCATCAAAACGAAATTCTTGTCCTGGATCGGTTGGCCCTAACCCACCCCTGTAGAGCTACCAGCATCCTTGGTGGGAAGCACCATCATGGACCTTCACAACTGTCACTCAAGCACTGAAATGCGAACGTGTTTAAATTCAAACACCACCCAATTACCGACCTTCCAACTATGCTACAACAATGCCACGAACCGAGTCACTTTGTCTAGTGAGGAAGCGCGCCTTAAAACAAACTAAGAATCCATTAAATGAAATAACACGAAGTTGTAGTTTCGCTATGAATATGGCGTTGACCAATGATATGGGCATCAACAACATGAAATCCCTTAACACTATGTTTGGGAAGAGGTGCAAATGGGAAGAGAGTGCAATTGGGAGGGGTAAACACAGTTTCCAACACATTTGCACCCGTTTGGATAATTTGTAACAGTAGGGGTGCATAACGGGGGTGCAGAATTACTATTTGGCTTACCCCCGAATTGGGGTGCAAGGGAAGAAAGGAAGAAGGGGGCGGGAGAGAGGGAAGAAGTTATTTTTTTTAATAATTTTTTAATAAATATTATTAATTTCTTTTCTTATGTAGATGGGTTAATAGCATTTTATATCTCTCTACTTTGACAAATTAACAAACGTACCCCTCTACTAATTTTTTGCACAAACGTACCCCTCTAATATTAAATCGTAACAAGTTTACCCTTCCTTCTAATTTTTCGTTAAGTGACTATTAAATGGGCTGGGAAAATGACCCGAATACCCCTTCTTTACCCCTAATTTCAGTGTACAAGTATAGCCCATCCATTTCTTGCTATAGAATTTTATGTTTTTTTTCCCATAGAAATGAATTGTATGTTCGTGTATTTCTTTGTAAGTGTGTTTTTTTTCCACCTTTGTTGCTAAATGATTATCGGATTGGCTGCTGCTAGTGTGTTTTCCCCCCTCTTCTTTTACATAGCTAGATGACGTGCTGTTTTTTCTTTTCTTTTTGAAATAGCTAGTTGAGGTGGTGGGTTTTGTGGACAGTGGTAGCTGACGAGAGAGCCCACCAAATTGGAAGAAGACGACAGTTAGAAAAGTGGCATCACAATCCCCAAAATCCGCAACGCCAGCAACAGTGCAAAATCCCATAAAAGAAGAAAAGGAAAAACCTAAAAAAAGATCTACCCACACTGTTGAGGCGCTGGGGGAGGGAGCAAATTGTATGGAAGAAAACGGAGGGAAAGAGATTGAGAATCAGTGGATGAAATTGAGCTCGTAATCCGGATTTGTCTGGCTTCCCTTTGCTGCTTTTTGGATTGAGCACAGAAAAAAGATCATCCCATCCAATTCCATGGGGGAGATTCCTCTAGGTTTGGGTGGCAGTTTCTGCTTCATACCCGCCTTATCTCCTTCTCCTCCTTTGTCTCCTTCCTCTCTCTCCTCTGCCTTCGGAATTGTACGCTTCCACTTCACCCCTTTCATTTTATCTCCTCACCAGGCCTGCAAATCGTGGGACTTTTAGTTCCACCCAAAATTTCCTGTTTCTTGTATTTCGTTGGGTGAGTGGTTAACGATGCTGCTCCAACTCTATCCGTCCATCTGTAGCTTAAGAAATCAAGCCCGACCACTTGCAACAATGGCTTCCAGGAAAATATGCAATTAACTCAACAATGACACCAAAACTAACAATCAAACAAGTGGCAAAAGGTCTATGAACAACCAGATCGAGGGAATTGCTGCTTACAAAATCAAAGAAAGATGTGGCAAAAGAATCTCAATGCTCCAACCTTGTTCTCTTTTCGCTAAAATCTGCAACCATTGTTACGCACCAACCTAGACTCCATTCTACGACCTAACACCTCATTTCTCTGTGTCCTCACACAAGCATATCCTTTTGCTTCTTAGCGGTGGTAATCGTTAAGAGTACATAAAAACGTGATTGTAAGACTTTTTTATAGATTTAAGTTATGTTATGTTAAATTGTAGGACAAGTTAATATTATTAGTTAATTAATTAAATTTAATATCTAAAAGAACAAGTTAACATCACTATCCATTATCATGGTTCAAAAACACGCGCTTAATATTACGCTTAGTCAAGTTTGAGTATGCCTAGGTGCTAGGCAACACAAAAATGCGTCGCTTGGGGTTATGCTATGTGCTAGGTATCGAGAACACATCTATGGACTAAGGAGACACCAAGGCATAATTACATGGATCTAGACAATCAATATCAAGTGGGGGAATTAACATCATCTACAAACTCAATCTTCTATCTCGAGAACTTTTGTAAGCTATTGAACTATAATTCTATGAACTTGTGGGCTAATTTCTTGTTGTTAAATGTTATTTAAGTTATTAATCATTTGAACCGAAGTGAGGCAGTATTGTAAATTGTACAATTTACATTCATCATGTCGTGCAAATTGTTATTTTTACTTCTAGCACCTAGGCATGCTTAGGTGATGCCTAGGCTAGCTTGGCGCTAGACAAGACCCCAAAACCTATCTTACGCTTAGTGCTTTGCTGAATGTTGTCCATTATTAATAAATATGAACAATATTAAACTTGTGTTTCCTTTTTTGTAGCATGTATTGTTCACTAGATTTTTTTTATACTCTGCAATCAATCTTGACATAACTTCACTTTTCACACGGTTAGTTGTTTATCGTATTTTTTTATACCCACAACAAAACTTTACCATAATTTTTTCCCTTGTAATTTTTTGTTTTCCATCTCTTACACTGAATCTCACCATAATTGTCATTTTAACCTTTAGACAACTCGACCATTACTTTTTCATACTTCATCGGATCTTTTTGTACTCTACAACTAATTTTACTATAAGCTCTTTGTTGGGGGTATTACTCAGCCATTAGGAGTTTGGGCCCCCAGACAAGTGACTTGGGGGGCAAAGCCCAAAAGAGGGTCCTGGGAAATGCCAAAAGGCCCAAATAAGAGGAGGGGCGCATGAAGACAAAACGCTAAAGGCCAAAGGAGTCCAGGCTGTCGGGTGGTCCATCACCTGGGGGCGCCTGTCACGCCGCAGAAGCCTGACAAGGTGGTTGGGGTGTCTGACAAAAAGAGTACAAAGCATTAAATGGGCACAATGACGTGGAGGAGATCAACCTCGAGTTCGGTGAGTATAAATAGGGGCAGTTGGTAGCATTTACGCAGGTTGGACTCTCTCTCACTAAAATACCACTTGAGGACTTTACTCTCCCACTAAGACTAACTTGGGCGTCGGAGGATTAACGGGCCGAGGCGCCCTCTTTGTGTGTGTAGGTCAACGTTCGTCGGAGGAAGACGTCCGGATAGTGAGGGGAGTTTCGTGGCTCAAACAATTGGCGCGCCAGATAGGGGGATATAACCTGAAATCATGAGTGAGGAGATGGAGGTGAGTGACGGAAGGGAAAGGGAAGAGATCACGGAGGACCAGTCAGAACGACTAAGGGGGCTGACGCCTGAGTTGGATGAAAGGGAGGAGAGCGATAGCATGTTTCGAGGGTCGGAAGGCGCCTCGATGACAAAGAGAGAGATGTACAGGATCATTGAGGACCAAGATGGAGCAATCGAGGCGCTCCGGAAGGAGGTCGATGCCCTAAAGAGAGGTGGAGGAATGACACCCAGTCCGACGAAGAAAAGAGAAAGGGCGACGGAAACGGAAAGTGAGTCGGGTTATCAGAGGCGCCCTAGTGTGTGGCGCCCCCGCGATTACGGAGGGTTAGAGACAGGAGGATGGAGTGGAGGAATTTTGGGGCGCCTGTCCCGCCACGGACCCGTGAGGCAACCGTTGGCGCGCAACATATTAGCGGAGCCAGCAGGGACCAACATCCCCCCGCTCCCCACCTATGATGGGGTCACCGATCCGGAAGACCACCTCAACGGTTATTTCACGAAGATGCAGCTCTACAACAGCACGGGCGCCACTCTGTGCAAGGTGTTCCCGTCGACCTTCTCGGGCGTGGTGCTTGATTGGTATTACCAAATCGAAGAAGGGCGCATTGAGTGCTTTGAGCAATTCGCGGAGATGTTCCTCGCGAAGTTTGCCAGCAGGAAGCGGCGCACCTTAACCATAGGCGCCCTGTTCAAGATTAAGCAAAAAGAGGGAGAGGCGCTGAGGGAGTTCTATGAGAGGTGGTTATCTGTGGCTCTGGCAGTGAAGGACGTACAACCATCAGTGTTGGGGGTGTGTTTGAACGAGTGCACCACCAGCGAGGAGTTGTGCAGATCGCTAGCAAAGAGAGACGTGGTATGCACTGAAGACTTGGACCACCGGGTACAAAAGGTGATCATTCTCGAAGAAACGCTGGCGGCCAGGAGAGCCGACCGGCGAAAGGCGAAAGGAGAAGAGACGGAGCCGGCGAGGAGGCCACACTTTGCAAGCGGTCCGGGGTATGCGCCCGCGAACCCCCCTCCTCCCAGGCGAATGGAGGCCGGGCGTCCGACATCCAGGGGGCCCTTTGCCGAATATACAGACACTCTGAAAAATATACTCCAGCATGTCAAGGAGAAGGGGTACCATATCAGATGGCCGGGCCCCATGAGAGGGCAGCCCAATGAGCGGAATCTGGATCGATATTGTGACTTCCACCGAGAGGTGGGGCACCACACGGCCGACTGCTACCAATTGAAGACCGAGTTGCAAGGCTTGGCTGACAGGGGGATGCTCAATGATTTCGTCAAAAAGCCTAAAGAAAGAGTGCACCGGGCCTGTGTGGCTGGCGCAGAAAGAACAGTAGAAAGGCTGCCACCACCGCCATACGACCTCGACCAAGAAAGCGCGCCCGAACGGGTGCGCCTGACTATTGAGGCTATTTCGGGAACTGTGGACCTGAGAGAGAAGATAGAGGCGAATCGTCGCTTGAGGGCAGCGTCGGCGGAAGCCCAGGAGGCGATAGACATCAGTTTCAATAGAGCGCCCGAAGAAGCATGCATGCTCCCATCCATGGACGCCCTGGAGATACAAGGTGTGGTGGCAGGGTGTCGGGTCAGGAGAATGCTCGTTGATACAGGGAGTTCAATGGACGTGCTATTTAAGGACACAGTGGTCCGCATGCAACTATCACCAGAACTGATCAGGCCCTCGGAGTCGGTGTTAGTTGGCTTTTCAGGGGCGCCCGCCAAGGTAATAGGGCGTGTGCGCCTACCAGTTACCTTGGGGGATGGGGAGCAGAGGATGACACGTGCCATCGATTTTGGAATAGTGGACTGCCCGTCGCCATACAACGCGATTCTGGGAAGGCCCCTCCTGGCCTTGTTCAACGGCGTTGCCTCCACTTGCCATCAGACGTTGAAGTTCATTGCGCCACAAGGAGTAGGCGTGGCGCGGGGAAGGGGCGCCCCGCGCTATGCGAAAGAAACAGGACGAAAGCGGAAGAGCAACGAATCAGTCAACTTGGTAGACATCTCGGCGGAAGAGGCGCCCCGAGCTGAAGCGGCCGACAAAGAATGTATGGTGGCGCTAGATTTGGAACGCCCGGAAAGACAAGTGAGGATATCAACGGAGGCGCCTGATGAAGTGAAAGAACGAATCATCGCCCTTCTGAGGGAGTTCGCGGAGCTCTTCGCCTGGAGCGCCTTGGAAATGCCGGGCGTCGCCCCTGAGACGGCCGTACACCGACTGGCGGTAGAAGAAGGAAAGCGCCCCGTGCAGCAAAAGCGGAGAAATTTGTCGGCGGAAAAGGAGGCGGCACTCAGGACCGAAGTAGATAAGCTCATGGGCGCCGACTTGGTTGAAGAAACATCCTATGTCACCTGGCTGTCGAACGTGGTCTTCGTGCCAAAGCCGTCGGGAGATTGGAGAATGTGTGTGGATTACACAAACCTGAACAGAGCGTGCCCGACAGATGCCTATCCGATGCCCCGTATAGACTTACTAGTAGACGCCACGGCATATCATGAGATGTTGAGTTTTGTGGACATGTTCTCAGGGTACCACCAGATTCCCATGGCAGAGGAAGACCGACCCAAGACAGCTTTCATGACGCCTTTCGGAAACTTTTGCTACCGGGTCATGGCATTCGGCCTCAAAAATGCGGGCGCCACTTATCAGAGGATGGTCAACAATGTCTTCCGTAAGCAAATCGGCCGAAACGTAGAAGCCTACGTGGACGACTTGATAGTCAAGAGCCGGAGACGCGAGGACCATTTGGAAGACTTGCGGGAAACATTTCAAGCTATGCGGGCGCACAATCTCCGCCTCAATCCATTAAAATGCGTGTTTGGTGCTGAGGCGGGCAAATTCCTGGGATTCATGATTACCAAACGGGGCATCGAGGCCAATCCGAAGCAGGTGGACGCCGTACTCCAGTTGGCACCACCAAAGGCGCCCAAGGAGGTACAAGCTCTGGCGGGAAGGTTGGCGGCCCTGGGGCGTTTTATCCCCCGGTCTGCAGACAAGGCAGCCCCATTCTTCCGGACGCTCAAAAAGGGAACACGCTTCCAATGGACGGCGGAATGTGACACAGCGTTCGAAGAACTGAAGCGGCTCCTGGCCGCCCCGACAGTTATGACGGCGCCCAAGATGGGAGAGACTTTGTACCTTTATATCGCTGTGTCAGACGTATCGGTAAGCGCAGTGCTTGTCTCAAGGGAAGCCAACTCAGGCGAGGAAAAGCCGGTGTACTATGTAAGTCGGACCATGGTGGCCCATGAACGACGATACGCACCCATTGAGAAGGCGGCGCTGGCAGTTGTGATGGCGGCGACCAAACTAAGGCCATACTTTCAGGCGCACACCATCATGATACTCACCAATCTGCCGCTGAAATCTACGCTGGGATCAATGGACGTGGCTGGGCGCCTGGTTAAGTGGGCGGTGCAACTGAGCGAGTTTGACATCAAATATGCGCCCCGACCGGCGATAAAAGCACAAGTCTTAGCCGACTTCATCGCGGAAGGAGTAGCAGAGTCCGAAGAGAGCGC